AAAATCTGAAAAAATAAATGTCATCTGTAAAGCCGCTGAGCTGTATTGACACGGACTTGCATCTATTCAAATGATGTGCTTTCACGAGGATATTTTTCCTTGAAAACGGACACAGGTACCTGCTTTACCTTTATTTCTGTGTGTATTTCACAGCCATTTGAAATAATAATAATAATAATGATCCAGAAAGAACTCTGCCTATGGATGTCATGGACACATTATGCTGAAGGCAAGTGCGTCAGTGATCTGAAAAAAAGAAATCACATTGCCAGAAAGCAACAGTGAGCAGATAAAGTTTAAAAGTTGCAGACTTGTGCAGAAAGAATATGTTTGTGTCACAATTACAATCTTCAGAATATTTTCATACATGTTATGCATTATGTATAAGTAAAGTATAAGTATTTTATATGTGTGGCATTAGCACCTACAGACTGCTCTTTAAAAAATTAGATGTTACATGTGCAGCATCAAATTCACAAAATCGTATTTTCTGATGTAATCAGATGGTCGATGGTCTTATTAATTCACTTACTTCTTATTTATGTCCGTTTAAATCATGTCCTGTATTTCACATTGCTCCACAAAGCACCTTTATTTTATGTGCCTTATAAATAAACCGACTTAAAATGGTGTTTTGACCTTTTTAAGCTAGCCAAAGGTATTTGGAGTGAAATAGGAGAAATATTCCTGACTATAGGTCTTGTTTTTAAAATTTAATAATATGAGTTCTCCTAAATTATGAATTCTCACCCCAGGGCAGGCATTTGTACCTGGCACCGTTTTCATTAATGAGAGAGCTGATTTAATTGACTGTGCTGCAGACTCTGTTTTGAGTCTGCATTTGACACACTACCCTTCACCTTTGCATGCACACACAATTATATACACACACAGTGCTTTGAGCTGGCATGGCCCCAGGGAGCATCTCCTGGCATGGACTTTGCTGTATGCAAACGAGGGGGTCTCTAACACCCAGTAATCCTTTGTATTTTACAGGAAGCATGCAGCCGAATAGTGGAAACTTAAGTTGGGTCTAGTCTGTCTGCGAGTTCATTTGTAGCACTGTTCACACTAATTGGAAGTGTATAAGAGCTTACTGGTGGCATGAGACAGACCATCCAATGTGTTTTCTAAGCCTTTTTATCTGCGCTAATAGCTGTGTACAGTATGAACTGTAACAGCAAGATCTCAAGTGGGTGGTGTGTCATTAAAATCTCGATACTTCAGGTCTCATCTTTGTCTCACAAAGTGATAGCAACATGCTGCACATTTATACTTCCTGTAGTTGTGTGAAAATCATTTCCACTGAGAAAAAGCATTGATTATTGTTTTAAAAAGCATCATTAAATCCTGTCACATGTAAGTGTTTACAGTATTAAAGTGTCAGGAAATTGTTGCTATAGTTACTCCATGTTGCTAAAGTGCTGTCAACATAAAGAATGTATAACCAGCCATGTGCACAGGAAGCACAGATTCCCATATGGGTTAATTGTGTATCAATCTGTTGGTAATGCTACGGGTCACCGGTAGGGGAGGACTGCATTCCTGCTTTCTACTCAAAAAGATATGAGCCGTGTATTGCTTATTACATTATTTTTTCGTGATCCCACTGTTGTTGTAATTATTATGCAGAAAGCACAATTAAAACATGTTTCATATTCATATGAGAAAGATATGCATTTTTAAGACAGGACTGTTTTTATTATAGATGGCAACATTTGTGTGTTTTATTGAGAAATACAATTGACCTTTATTTGCTTTCCACATTTAAGCCTGGAGACCCACCAAAACACTGGTTCAGATAAAACTCAGTTCTTATTAACATAAAACATTTTATTTGTTGATTTTTTTTTACATGGGGTCATGTTGTATGCAATGTTTTGATCACTAATTGTTAACAAAAAAATATTAATTACTTCTGGGCCTAAGTTATTATACTCCTAGAGTGCTTATACTGGCACTGCATGTGCTGATTTTACTGTTAGATAACACTGATGAGCTCTTATGGACGTCCTAATGAGAGGAGCTACTGGAGATATCATCAGTGATCAGTGTTTTCTTTGGCCTCACACTGCCCTGTGCTTGAATGGATATGTGTTTCTGCGTGATACAGTGGTTGCCTTTCATTTGCATGTGCCCCCCACCCCCCTTCTTCCCCTCTTTTTGATGGCATTGCTTCCTCTTGTCTCTTTCCCTGCTTCCTCTCACCTCATGCTCTTTTTATCTGTCCCTCGAAGATAAAAGCAAAGCGTGCATCGCGAGGGAACGATTAGTCTCGGCCATCTCAAATAACTATTGTATGTCTCAATCACCCTCATTCTCAAACTATCTCCTCCAGTGCCAGGCATAGCATTAACCCTCACTGGAGAGGCCCTGGCACTCCAACTCTAAAGGCAGCTTAGAGTCTATTTTACATTTTATCTCATTTTTTTTTTTTTTTTTGCATCTGCTAAGCCCTCTGTCTGCCATCCTCATCGCTTATAGATCATTCACTCATTTTTTGTCTTATATCACTTAACCTAAGTGTTCATTTTTCTTTTCGTTCATTGTGTATTCTGTCTTTACACTGACAAAGACTTCCCACTGTGACTTTCTGTTAGCTGTGTCTATGGTTTGACTGAACTTTTTGTGCCCCTGCTGTATGGTGGCTTTCTTCGTGTTTGACTAGATTAAGGGATCAGATTTTAACAGAACAGAAAAGGCTCACTTTTGAAAATGCTCAGTGGTGATGTGAGTCGAATTTAGCAGATAAATGCTGTGTGTTAGCTTGCTGAGTCTCCTATGTCTTCTTATATGTGTTATAAATATTTATGCATGTCAGCCTAGCACAATACTCAGGTTATCAAGTGAGAAGTCAAACCAAAAGCTGTTGATAAATATGCATCAAGAATTTATGAATATTCATTATTGAATCACTGAAGTGTGTTTTTGCACTTTTGAACTTCCAACAACTACCATTCATTCCCTTATCATTTTTCTTGATGTTCTTCGTTATGTAACTTTGTATCTGCCTCAGTCTATCACCTTGGTTCTTGACGACAGAGGTATTTCAGAAAGTTCTTCAACATAATTTAACATAGTAATTAAATCTGCTTTATATTTCTCTGGAATGACATGATTAGTCATCTGGCTCTTTCATAACTTGTCTGGAGAATACACGTGGCTGCGCATTCACGAGCTCCTCAGCTAAAATGCAGTAAAATAAATAAGGTGCTTATTTGACTCTCTGATATTTTTAGGATATGCAAACCTGTTGGGAGACTGTGTGCTTAATAAAAAGTGGAACGTAATCATTAATTAAGTTGTAAATTAATTAAATGTTGTGTCGGGTAGTTTAAAGACAACAGTATCAGATGTTTCAAACTTGTGAAATTTCTCATTTTGAATTCTGATGTGATCTACGTGTTTAAAAAACATTAAGAACCTTGAAAAACAAAGAAAAACCTTGAAGGTCTGGAAATCTATTTGTGATGAGTAAAATAAGCAGGGGTTTTTTGTGAAGGACAATAAATTGCTAATCCAGATTCTACATGTATCACAGCAGCTTTGGTCTGTAGTCTGGATTTCAGGCTATACTGCACTGCCTGAAGTCTTGATCTTGTGGACAGAAGTTTGTTTTTAGCAGCGCTGCTCATCTGTGTTGCATTTTACTGTAAGGGGTTCTGTAAGGGTCCCACTCAACTTCTATCTGTGAATATAGGAACAAAAAAAAAACTAGATGCAAATGCAAACCATATTATGTCCGTCCATGATCAGCTACTGTAACATACATTTAGTGTAAAGAAGAATCTTTAGTAGTTAATCCAAGTCTGTAATTTTAAGTGAAATGCCTGTAAATCATCTTTAGGCTTCCACTGTTTGACTTTCATCCCCTATTTTTCTCACCATTCCTTCACTCTTATCAGTCTACCTCCAGTGGATTTGTTGAGCCAGAATAGAGGAACAAAATATCAGCACTATAGATCATTTTGACAGTTTAATTTCAATGCCTGATTATCAGTCAATTTGATAATTATATTATCCAACCATCCAATTAATGTGTTCTATATTTACAATGATCATCAAGTAAGCGGTCCATTTTTGCATCATTTATTAAGGGTGAGATATTAGAGCCACGAGAGACCTTGACAGTTTTGCTGTGCAGCTTCTTGATTGAGATATAAAAATCACTGTGTGTCTATTGCGACGTTCACTATAGGCACCACCCTACAGAGAGCTTCTCGCCGGTCTTCCTCAATCCATTCCGTCACACTCAACAGAGCGTGTTCAGGAAACACAGAAGGAGCGAAAAACAGAGCGATACAGAGTGGAGGCGAACAAATGATGAAAGGATTTCATGCCTCCTCCTTGGCTTTACTGCTCTCCTGTCTGCTCTGTCTAGCTCGGAGGAAGGTACTGCACTGTGCCAATGAGCTACTGACACACAAGTGCACAGAGCAGGAGATGCAGGATCAATCCTTCATGACTTGATGCTTTTGCTTCCTCTTCGCGGTTAGTCAGACTTCTCTGAGACATTAAGAGCAAGTCAAAATCACCCACAGCAGACAACAGTGCATCGTATCAGATTAGGTAGCTCCGAATGGGACACATTCACAGAGGGTTTTCCATCTGGAGTGTGTTTAGATGCCAGTGATAAATAAATGCAACACAGTTTACTTTGTCTTAAATGAAATCCCAGCATCTGACCATAGACAATCCGTAACAGTCAGAGAGATGTAAGCATCAGTTACATTTGGCTCCCTGTTTAAGTGTATTTGAAAAGTTTCCGAGGACTCTGTGCTTGCTTCTTGTCTGTGCTTACATTATCAAAGTTAATGTGATTCCTTCTATCTTATCTGAAGAACTCCGTTTTCCTGACATTCTTTTGTCCCTGTATTTGTGTGTGTGTGACATTTAAGAGTTTTCATTGTTCACTGTTTGTTTCCCATTAACTGGTTTTAGGAGGAAAATGTCTCATTAGGAAATTGAAAGACTTTAATTCCAAACATTTGTCTTTACAGATGACGTGCCTCCCTACTTCAAGACAGAGCCAGTGCGTAGCCAGCTCCATCTGGAACGTAACAGGCTGGTGCTGACCTGCATGGCGGAGGGAAGCTGGCCACTAGAGTTTAAATGGATCCACAATAGCACAGAATTAACACGCTTTTCACTGGAGTACAGGTGAGCACAGGCTGATGAACTGTAACTAACTAGTCATGTATATATTTGGTGAAATTAGGATTAGTATTTACCTTTTTGCCATTAGCTACAGGCCTACTGTAAGAGATTAACTATGAAAGTCCCATTCAGTCAGGAGCAGAGATTAGTCATTGACCCTTGGTAGCCACTGGTCGCTAATTCACGCTAGCGTGAAATTGATTGGAAAGAGGTGCACGGTGTTGCACTGAAAACCTCCTTTGAGGTTTTGAGTTTGAGTACACACCAAGAGGAAGTGAAACTGTGAAAAATTGTGACACAACCTGGAAATGGAGTCTGTTTGCACTAAAAGTAAAATGTGCTGGTTGCAGCAGTCAGGCACAACTTTTCAAAAGGTTGTAACTTTTACTGTGAAAGCAAACAATGTCCACTTCCAGTTTGCAGTGAACTTTTCACAGTTTCACTATAGCTCAGAGTATAAATGGCAAGTGTTTGCAGACAAGTTGGCATCTTCCATGAAAACTACAGGTGAGTACAGGAAGGTTTTTGGTGCAACCCTCTTTACAAACTCGTTTCACCTCTGACAGCCAGCTCCAACTGGCTGGTAAATACAAAGGTTGTCGATCGTCCTCTAGGTCAGTGTGACTGAGACCTTACTCTTTTAACGTACATGACACATGTGATATTTTGATTTGAATCTATCTATCAATCTATCGTTTTCTGGTTATCCGAAGTCAGTTCACAGTGTCAGCACGTTAAGCAGGTTATTCCAGATGTCCTTCTCCCCAGACAAACTTTGTAGTTCCTCCTTGGGGGATCCCAGAGTGTTCCCAGGCTAGATGAGATCTCTCCATTGTGGTCTGGGTCTACCCTGTGTTCTCCTGCCAGCCGGGCGTACCCACAGGACACACAGGAGTAGCAGCTCTACTCCAAGATCTGGATTTCAACCACTAGTTTTTCAGTTGTTACCCATTTTTCATGAGCATAGGTGAGAACCGGGATGCAGATGGACTGGTAAATCAAAAGCTGCACCTTTCAGCTCTGCTCTCTCCTCACCACGACAGTCCGGTACAATGCCTGCATTATCGCTGACGCCACACTAATCTCCCAGTCAAGCTCACGTTCCGTCTTCCCACCACTCGTGAATAAAATCCCACAATACTTGAACTCTCTTGCTTGAGGGATGGTTTGAATTTGACCTAAAAAAAATCCTTCAAAGGGACCTGGTCTTGTAGCCACAGGTAGCCTTACTTGATTATTCTGATGCTACAGAGAAGAAGCATGGGCTATGTAAGAACATCTTCTGCACCCTATTCCAGTTAGATAGGTGTTTAATGCTTGTTTGATGAAAATATTTTTTAAAATCAAACTTCTTTTAAATTTAAATTGAATCAGTGTAATATTATGGCTCTAAAAGCACATCTTTATTTCATTTCCAACACTGCTGTGGTAATTCTCAAATTCAGTAGGGCAGTGTGGTACTCCGCATATGCATTTTTAATTAATCCTGGTCATAATCCATCAAACATTAGTGCATTATAAATAAAGAAATGGCTTATTCTTGCTTCTTTTCTTTTATTGCCTCTAAACCCCCCCCCCTCTCCCTCGTGCCTCCGTGACCTCCATCACTCCCTGTCTCTCCCTCTGGAGAGCGAAAGACGTGAATGAGGGTTAGTGCAGGAGATAAACCGTCTTTAATGGTAACTGGAAGATCCCAATCACGAGGCAAACATTGCTCTTATCTCAGAGAGCAGTGTGCCTCCACTGAGCGTTTCCGTGCGCATGTACATGTATGTGTGCAGACAACAGTACAAATGAAGCGCCGGACGATTGATAGAAAGCTTGCTGACGCGCAGCAGATCTTAGCTGAACTGTTGTGTTCACATGTGAAAAAGAGAACGAATGTGAAAACAACAGTGGCTGAACATAGAAGCAACATCAGGGTTGTTGATGGAAACGCTTTCTTGGTATAATCTCTGGAGACAGATAAGACCAGAGTGAGAACAGCAGAGCAGGAAGGGCAGAAGTGAGACACACAGCTGCTGGAGGAATTGATGAGAATGGACTGTACCTGAGAAAACCACTGCTGTTGGAAGCTTTGGGCCACTTTGACTGTGTTATTGGGAGAGTGATTGAGTGACGCTATGGGTGATTAAACAAGTACTCAGGCACAAGGCTGGACAAGGTTATGTCTATGTGAGTGTGTATATCATATAAAAGGACTGTTAAAGCCATGCAATTATCCCATTCAGGATTGTTTGGCTTTACAAATAGATATAAAAAAGAGACTAATCAAAAATACCCTCAAATTGCTGTCATGCGCTTAGACCATCTGTGCTTTACCAACATCCTGCTAGTAATAAAATAAAGTACACTGCGAAAAAGAACGTGAATCTTGCATAGGCTAAATGCAACATGCAAACAACAAAAGGACCTTTATAAGGATCTAGAGTCCATATGAGTAGCTGAGTACTTAAAAAATCTAAATACCATTTTAACTGAAGACCGAGTGCCCTGCTATATACTTCCAAGAGTTTGTGGATGTTAGTTTTAAGTACGTATGCCTTTTTCTTGAGGTTTTGTGTCCATTGTATAATTTCTTCATATATATCAGCAGCTCTCTTAATGCAAAACCATGGCGCTCGTGTTGTTTATATGTCGTACGCACTCCTCCTTATTCCTCAAGTCGGCCTTTCTTTCCGCCAGCAGAGTATTTCAGCAGAACAGACCCCCATATTAATGAGGTTATGGTAGAGGTCCCCAGTGCTGGGCGCTGCTTTAAATATTGACACCATGTGACTTGACCTTGTGTCCTCTGGCAACCAATCAATGCTGCAAACTCTGCGTGAGCATTATAATTCAACATGTAGGTGTGTGCGTGGAACAGTTAAGCAAGTGGCTGACTTTTAGAGAGACCAGGATCAGCACTGACAAATGCCACATGACGGAAACTTCATCTATACAATATCCAATTGCCACACGCAGATATTCACACATTCTGGCTCGCGTGCTGCTTTCTTTGTTCCTAAAAAAATCATTTAATAGCCTTATCACCAGATTACAATTGAACTTAGGAAGGATGAAGATTATATCCAATATAATTAAGAATTTTTGATCCTATTAGGCAGATAAGTCTCCTGCACACAATGCTTCAGCAAATCAATAGATCTATAAATACACAGAATAGCACCACAGCTTCCTGTCACGTGACCAAAACCTCAGGGGTGATTACCTGGCACTCCACCAGTCTTTTTGCTGCCAATTAACCTAGAAACTTAATTAAGAGAGTTAATTATTAATCGGCCCTCAAGAGGCATTTTTGTTTGTCAATTGGTTCTTGGCTGGGTTGGTGGAGTGTGGCCTCTGCTTCCGAGAATAGTAAACTTTTGCTTCTTACTCTAATTAGATTGAAAGACAAAAGTAAATAAATAAGTCTTAAAGGGTTTTACAAAGGCAGAAGGGAATATAGTAGTTGTTTGTTTCAGTTATAATAATTTGAAAATAGCATTCCAGACAGGATACGTTTTTTTCTGAAAGATCAGTCAAATGGTTAAAACTTTAAGAATGACATTTCAAATTACAACTGCATCAGTAAATGAGCAGAGAAATCTGTGAATCCAAAGGAAAAGGCAGAAAACTAAGAGGAAATGACTGTAATCTTCAACCACAGATCTCCAGGAGAAACCTCTGTATGGGCACAAACGGGGGTATGGATATGTCTAATCAAGACTCCCTCACCACAAAATATGAAACAAATAAATACATAAAAAATGGTACAAAAGACATCGCAGTCGCAGCGTGACGAGTTCGTGTTGATTGACTTTTCATCTCTATGATCTTCTGCATAATAGGTGCTTTGCTCTTCAAATCTGGCATTTCACAATCAGGAAAGAAAAGAATAAATAGAAAATGAGATTAGCGTTTGACAGGTAGCTTGATAGAATGTCACTTCACTCTTTGCAATAATGATTCATCTTTGTAAAATGTGGGTGCGCCTTCAGAAATGGGACGGTAATATTGTATATCCGTGTTTTTGGCAAATCAAGAATTTGCCGGAAGCTAGATGTAGACAGATATGTGCAGATTTTTAAACACTGCATGTACGTATTTCCTAAAAACTCAACCCTCACCCAGACGCCCCTCTTCACACTTCACACTGGGCTCTCCTGCATTCCCTTTGTTCGTCTTGTCTTACTTTAATCCATACATAGATGAAATACCACTAAGCATCCACATTTTTTCTCTTTTAAGCAGATATCATTTCATGTTAGCTCTGAACAAATTAAAACAAGTTCAGTACAATGTTTTTCAATGTCTGGGGGAAAAGCGAGAAGAGATGACAAGCATGCCAACTGGATGAAGATGAAGGAAAAGCTGGTGGAAAAAACTGCCTTTTCTTCACACACCAACAAATATTTAGAGGAAGCCACAAACATCATTGTGCCTAAGATTAGTTATTGAGTTATTAAATAAATTATATCCAAACTTAAGACCAGATAAAGTGTGTCAGTTTACTGTCCTGTTGGGAAAGTGCCATCTGTCTCCAGCTACAGTGACCACCACCCAATGAGAGGTTCATACGACAGCTGCCCTAAATTAACAGCGGTGGTAATTATGAAAATAGTTTTTATTTGTTTCTGTAATGAGTACATATATAACAGACACAAGAGTAGGATCCAAGTCATGGTTTGTGTGTGCTCTGCCTTTTTACTGTCATTAAACAGCAATTTATCGCACGAAATGTGAAAAAACCCTGTTGAAAATCAGACAAATTGAAGATTCCTTTTGTTCCGGTCTCCATGTGCCAAAACAAATGTGAATGCGTGTAGAACAGGAGGTGGGTCAAAGTGTGCATGTGGAAAATGAAATTGCATGAGGAATAAAGCACAGCAGCAAATAATAAGACCTTGAGATTCAAATTTGCCCATTCGCTCACTGTCATTTTCATTTCCCATTTCCCCAGTGTGTTGTTTTCTTTGACTCATCCCACATATCCTTGCTCCTTCTACTGTCGCTCTTTCCAA